AGTTCTACTGTGTATGCTGCTGTGAAACTCAGGATTTTATTTATTCATCTGGTCTACCTACCAGCAATCCAGTGATTGATTCATTCATCTACCATCCACCCATCCATCCATCCATCCACCCACCATCTTATCTTTCCATCCTTCCATCCATTCCTCCATCCAACCACCCATCCTTCCATCCATTTCACCATCCATCCATCCATCCACCTTTCCTTCTTTCCATGCAGCCATCCATCTTTTAGTCACTGGTCATCCATCTAATATGTATTTCTTAATTAAGAACTATGCTAAGTATACAAAAAATCTGCAAAATGCAGCCCCTCCCCTGGGTTCATGGTCCCTGGAACCATGAACTAGTCTCACTCTGTAACCATGCATCCAGTGAGGACATTTATGGAAAGCAGATTTGGGATACTGCTGATTGGGCAAAGGGGACCCCAGAAGATGTGACAGGCTTCCAGATCAGCTCACAGGTTGCCATGGAGGTACAATCTGTATCCCCATGCACCAGGCCCTAATGTCTTTCCTTTGCAAGAATGAAGTCACTCTTTAAAAAATAAACTTTTATTACAGTGGTCATAGCTCATGTGGGTATGTGTAAAGTAGCAGGAAGCAGAGGGGAGGCCAGGCTCCTGATTGTAACAGAATAAATCCCTTCTTGGAATCTCTGGCTGCTGCTCTGATCTTGCTGTTAATAGGGCTCAGGGGAGAGCTTGGCCAGGGCCAGAGCAGACGCTGTCCTTCTGCATTGCCTAGGGTGCTCAGGAATCCATGCCAGCCTCACCCGTCAGAGCTCTCGCCAATTAACCTCCTCTACCAGGGACCACATGACCTTGGCATCTGCTCTCTATATGCCTTGGCCTCTGCGGTCCTGCAGGACCCCGCTTCCTCCTCCTCTTGGCCCTGTAACTACCCTGTGCTTGCAGCTCCGATGGGGGGTAATGTCCTCGGAGGTTGTGCTCTGGTCAGGGAGCCTGCTGCAGCCACAGTTGCAGGTAGGATTTCCATTAAAAATATTAGAATGGTGGGCCCTCCCTGGTGGCGCAGCGGGTTAAAGCACAGCACTGAGAAGCTGAAGCCACTGCAGCATGAGTTCAGTCCCCGCCCGGAGGTGACCACATGGCGTGGCAGACCTCTCCTGTCTCCCTGCTGCTCCCCTTAGCAGTGTACTTCGTCCATCTGCCTGTTCTGCTCCCCACTCTGTCCGTGGTGATTCCTCTCACGGCCCCTGCACCTCTGGCCCCTGCCCCAGCTCTGTGTGCACACATAAATAAATCTTAAAAAAAAAATACTAGCATGGAATAACATTGACTTTGAAGTGCTTTCCACTTACCTGGTCCCTTCACACCTGTTGACTCACCTGGTCCTCATGACATCCCGTCTTGCAATTTTACCGTCAAGGATGAGTTTCAGAGAACAGGGAGGGCCTGTGCCATACTATATACCCAGTAAGAGCTGAGCTTTCTATCTGAACCCCAAATGCTGTTTTCTTTCCACTACTTTAGTGTTAAAAACCTCTCCCCACTGCCCTGGCTTTTAGCAAACAGAGTGAGTCGACCTCATGGCACAGCTGGGTACCTCAACAGCCACCCAGACCTGGGCTGCTCCTAGTCAAGGGCCTTGATTATACCTTCTTCATCAGGTGCCCCATTCAGAGGGAGAAATTGAGGTACCGGAGAGCCTAGGAGTAAGCTACCTGGCTGCCCCAGCTGCAGGCGTTGCCTCGTTTGAGCCTGGTGACAACACCATGAAGTGACCATATGGGATGACTGACAGGTAGAGGCGGGGAGGCCCAGACCCGCAGCCCGAGGGGGCCTCCCAGGCTGCCAACCTTGAGGCTGGACTGTCCTCGCTTCCCTCCATGAAAACTTTCCTCCTGGCCCCTTGCTGTGCACAACTCTGACCTGCTGTGTATGGACAAGCAAAGAACCTACAAAGCCATTGGCCCAGGGCTCACTTTCTTTTTTTTTTAAAGATCTATTTATTTGTGCATACAGAACTGGGGTGCAGGCCAGAGGCTCAGGGGCAGTGAGAGGCTTCACCAGAGACAGAGTGGGGAGCAGAACAGGCAGATCGACAAAGTACACTGCTGAGGGGAGCAGCGGGTGGGTCAGGAGAGGTCTGCCGCACCATGTGGTCACCTCTGGGGCAGGCGGGAATCGAACTCATGCGGAAGTGGCTTTTTAGATTCTCAGTGCTGTACTTTAACCCGCTGTGTCACCAGGGAGGGCCAAGGCTCACTGTCTTTCTGTAGGTGGTCATCTGTTTGTCTGCCTGGTTTACGCCCAGTCAAGGAGAAGAGTGGTCTTTGGTTTCTGGCCACTCAGAAGCACCATTCTGGAGATGAGCACTTCCTGGGCTCAACCAGTCTGTACTGGTGTCAGGGCAGGTGGGAGACTGACAGATGGACAGCCTTGATCCCAGCCTCAGTTTCCCTTTCTGCAGAGCAAACATTCATCAGCCTCATCTCCTGGGCAAAACGGATCCTAAGAGTCAAGATGCATTTGCTGATGGAGAGGTCTCTGCAGCAGAGCTTAGGGCAGAGAAAGCCAGGGGTGCGGCCTCCCTGTGAATCAGAGGCAGGAACATCAAATGTCTTAGGAATCCTGTGGTTCTCTCCAGCAGGTAGAAGGCATCAGCTTCCTTCCTTTCGCAGGCACTCCTACTTTCCAAAAGCTTGCATTATGCCATTTTGTTTTTATGAAAGACCTACATTGACGTCCACTTCGCTTATGCAGGAAAAGTCAAAAAGCTTTCAATGTTTGTTTTGTAGGAATCCTTCATAGAAGCAGTAGCCCCCTCTCCCTGCCCACTCCCTCCCCCCCGCTCCAGAGTAAGGTTAGCCCCACCAGGCTTCTTCCCCAGGAAATGCTTTATAACAGCCCTGTCTTTATCAAATTCTTCCTGCTTTCACTGTGTTAATGTTATTTTAGTTTTGCATGGTATTGGACACATTTGGTAGATTGTTTTTTGGAGCTGGGAACACTCAGAAGATTTCCACATAAATGAATGGTAATAGCTTCTTCACTCTACGCCACTTTGGCTTAGGAAAGTTTTCATTGGAATGCTGTAGTTTCAACTAGCAGAGGAAACCTGTATCTGGATTTTTCTTCCTCTTTTCAGTCCATCCACTCTTTTCCGCCCCTGTGCCCTTTCCTATTTTCCTCATTTTAGGAAAAAACAATAACAATCAGACTAGACCTTAAAAATTCCCTCTAACTCTGACACCAAGAGGTGTTGGGGGTGGGTGGCGGTTATGTTTGGTCTGGGCTGTTAGAACCAGATCTTGCAAGAAAAGCCAGAGGCGATCAAAGGCATGGGGCAGACATCTGTTCTGCATGTGGCCACCCAGGCCTGACACTGCCCAGCTCTGGCCTGATGGCCAGATAAGGAGGGGAGAGGTCAGAGAGAGACTTCAGAGGCTCAGCACGTTGTGTGTGCTGAGATGGATATTGCCTGTCCCCACCCCCTTGGGAAGGGAGCCAAGAAACCTCTGAAGCCCCAGAAAGCTCAGCACTGGACACTTGCATACAGCTCGCTGGCAAGCGCCTGCCTACCAGCTGGCCAGATGGAAGGCTTTAAAAAAGTGACACCTTGTATTTTATTTCACTCCTTTCTCTGAAAAGTCCAAAGACATTTATAGGCAAGAGCTCTACAGGCTTTATGGGGGCCCATCAAAACGCAGGGGCTGTTTCCTTCATCTTTATAGAGTGGAATATAAAAAGCACGAGAAGACAGAATAATGATTTGAAGGCCACACAGTTTTTTGCGAAAGGGAGAATCCAGTGTGGGTACCTATGGCCTGGGAAAAGCCTGTGCCAAACTGAAAGGGCTTGGTGGGGAGCCTTGGTGATTGTGACTCTTCATCCATCCTTAATCAGGATGGATCCTAGTCCCCAACACTAGGGCCCAGCTAGAACCTTCTGCCTTTGAGATCTGAGGCTTGAAAATAAACAGAGAGAGCATGTCAGTCTGAAAACAAATGGGTAGATATACCCTGAAATACTATTGGGGACAGTCCCGAAGACTTTTCTTGTGGGTTCCCAACTTAGAATATCATCCTGGAGTCAGGAACAAGGCTTGGTTCAATTTGGGGAATACCCCTTATAAGGAATGTTAATAGCTGTTTGTGTTGCAAGGAGCTCAGAGAATAAAATGTTTGGGGAAGGTTGTGAGAATGTTAAACATATTTCTTAAAGACCTTTCAGGCCTTTCCTGTTACTAAGGATTATGAATCCCTTAAAGAATGTTAGAATGTACTATGTTTTCACAAGTTGTTTGTCCAAGGAGCCATTTTATGGGATTGTGTTGGGGGGCTTGGGTTCCACAGAACCCACTTTGGGAAATGCAGGCCCAGGTGTGGCAAGGCCTTGTCTGCCTCTCTTTGTGATACTTTGAAAGATTCAGGGAGCCTGGGATCGGCATAGTGAGGCGGCACTCTGGTTCTTTGACTTTATTGGTCAATCTTCTATCTCTCACAGCTCTCTTTTCTACAGATGATTATTTGTACATGCTTCTGTTGTGATATTGTCATTCATGTATTAATGTTTCGAGTTCTCTCTTCTATGTCTTCGAGTCCTCATCTGCATGCCTGAGCCACAGTAAGTGTATAGATGTGAAACCACATCCCTCTTACACCTGTGTGGAGTCGCATGGATGTTGGTTCAGGACACTATTCAGTGTGATGGTGATGTTGTGTAATCCAAGCTGCCGAGATGGCACCCAGAGGGGTTTGAGGAGGAGCAGAGAGACCATGCGGTATGATGAAGGGGAGACTAGAATGTGTGATTTTATTTTTTGGCCATGGCCCTTCAACTTAAGAGGCTGTTGACAGGTCATCTAGTTACTCTGGAGTTGAGTTTTTCATGTACAAAAAAGGGAGGGATTTTGCCAGATGTCCATCTCTAATGTCCATCCTTCTAGTTCTTTAGTTTCTGAACACATCATCTCTGCCAAATGCCTAATGCTTCCCCCTAATGTTTTTCCTATATTACTTTCAGCTCCTAACCATTGACGATAACTTCTGTGGCCTGGATATGAATGCCCCCCTGGGAGTGTCCGAGATGGTGCGTGGGATTCCTGTCTTCACAGAGGACAGGGACCGCATGACCTCGGTCATCGCATACGTCTACAAGAACCACTCTCTGGCCTTCGTGGGCACCAAAAGTGGCAAGCTGAAGAAGGTAGGAACACCATGCTGTCATTCGGTTTATTGTAAAGATAGTCTGTCTCCACTGGGATGGATTTTATCTCATGTTGCTCAAGAGCTTTGGGTTTGGAGGGCAAGTGATACAGGTTTGAGCCGAGGAGACATGTTGACTTTGAAATCATGAATGGTGACCTTGGCCCTTCTCACCTTCATGAAGAGAGTTGTGAGAATGATGGGAGGGGTGGTGTGGATTCTCCTTTTCCCCAGTGACTGGGTGTCACTCAGTCTCGAGGCCATCTAGATGACAGTCTGTCCAACTTGGACATGTGCCCTATGCAAGGGCTTTATTAGGTCTGTGTCATAGGGGGAGGCTGGCAGGGCAAGGGATGCTTTAAGCCTTCTGGCTGAATCCTCCTGGAACCCATTCAGGGAAGCAGATGGAGGAAAGTATAGACCTGCTAGTTGCTAATGGGGTTTAAAGCCAAATCATGGGACTGTGAACCCATGGATGTTGTGGGAGCTCAGAAATTGTTGAATGGTGTGATGGGGACATGTAATTCCTCCTTATTCTCCAGGGGCTTGCTGGTTTTAGAGCACTGGGTAACAGTGGCCTTTGGAAGACACCAGTCCATCCAAGACTAGTCTCTCACTCTGTGGGAGATGGGCTACCACTCCCATCTGGCCCAGAGGAGCCCCCCTTGACTAGATTTAAAGTCTTTCAAAGACTGTAGGCAGTAGGTCCTGTTTTCTGTTGGCTGAAACCATGCTGTTATAGTCTCTTCCCAGGGAAAATTGAGTGACTTCATATGGAGGCCTTGCTTGTCTTATCAATGTTTCCCTTGGACTTCTCTGGAGATTATATGATACAGCACTGCCTGATTGTAGACTGAGTCTCGATCCCTATTTTCTTTTTGCTGTATTCTGGACATTTGCTCAAGATGGTCAAGGGGGATATACTCTCTGTAATCTAGAAGGCTGTGCTTATTCTTCCATCCTAGTATGACATTCCTGGTAATTGTTGCTTTGTTTACTTCGCACAACTCTCTGGAAGAGGCAGTGGGTGTGGGGCGTATTGGAACTGGGGACCTTGACAAATCGCCAGGAGCCCCTGCAAGGACAATGAGGCTACATGCTCCAGGACTAGTATTGCTCAAAGTGGTAACCACCTAACCATATACCACCCTAAGTGCACAATTAACAAATAATTTAACCACTGTCTATACATCTTTAAGAATTACATTTCACACTTTCCCTGCCTCTGTGAAGAATATATTAAACACCATCGAATGTTTTCTTACTGCCTACCTTTTTGTTGTGGTGATGACGCTCACCGAGGGAGCTGGACTTCATGGGTGCCCAGAGAAGATGCTGTAGGGATAGGTGTGTTGTTCCACTTGACTCCTGTCCCAGGCTTCCCAGCGCTTCCTCTGGGGGACATTATTACTCATCCTGGGTGCTCCCAGGGTCCTGGTCAGCTTTCTCCTTACTCTTCCCTCATGCAGTTTCTGGCGAATTAGGAAGCCAGAAACCCAAATTGACTGACACTGTGGCTAATGGGGGTTCACATTAGTGGAAGAGTGATGTAGACCAGCCCAAGGCAGGCATGCTGAGGACTTTTCTGTTGGTTGTGCCGTTGGCTTCACTCTCCAGCATGAAGTGAGTCTCGTTTGCCGGCAGAGTGAATTCAGATCTATGCCCAAGGTGTTCCCACATACAGTTCAGACAAGGGCATGTACATAAGTCAGCAAGACAATTAGGGGCTCACTGACTCTTTTCTCTGGTGAGCCCAACAGAGAAGTAACTCACTCTGATGCCCTGGAAGATTCTGATCCACTGGGCTTCCTACAAGGTGTCAGAGGATCATTTACTTGCTGGCAAAACTGAGTAGAGCCTGGAGGGTGATTTTCTGGTGTGTATATCATTGTCTGCCTGGTTGCAATAGGTGTCACTAAAATCAACATGGAGAGCTCAGTGCTTGTTATAGAGGAGGGAGCTACTTTATCTTGGGGGGAAAGATGTATTTCCTGGCTGTGACTACATCATAAACCCAACATGGTCAACTTGCACCCAGGTGCTGATGGTCAGCGGGTGGATGGGGGCCAGTGGGTGCTGCCTGTTTCTCTCCTTGGAAGCTTATCTCCATGAGTGTGGCTGAGGGCAGCCCAAGAGTCCGGACAAGGGAAACACACACAGACAATGCTTCTGAGGCAAGCACTGGGCTGAAACCTGACTTGAGGTATCCCCAGAGGTCAGCCAGGCTGGCAGGACCTGGAGACTGGGGGCTTTCTATACCACAGGCATTTCCCATCTTTGGCTTCTGGAGGGAGTTTATAGAAGAACAGCTTTGTTTCAGCCACTTGGGACTTTACATTTGATTTCCAGTGCTGTGGTGGCTCTGGAGAAGCATAAACATTTGAGAGGTAAGATCAGAGGTCACACTGGGGGCTGGGGGGGCAGGAATGAACTGGCCCCTCCCGGGGAGCACCCGGCCATCGAGGCAGCCCAACTTTCTGCTCACCAACCCAGAGTGGCAGCCTGTTTAATAGTCTTGCTAGCGCACCGCTCCTGCGCCTGCAGACTCAGCACCGCCGGCCCCGGGGACAGTCTGAGTTGGGAAAGGAAGGCTGTGCCGCCGACTCTGTTGTTTGAAATAATAAAAAAAGCATAACTGGCCAGTTTATTTTTTCTGAACAATAGATTTTTCCCACCAGCTCTGCTCACTCTGCACCACCCTCCTTTCCTTGAAATCATTCTGTCTTGCTTTTCCCAGAGGTTATCAGGACCAAATTCACCCTTTGGGCAGAGGTCCAGCCTCGAAAACTCTGGGGGAGCAGGGGGACTTTGTAGAAAATTTTGGGAGTGCCTGGAACCAGGGGAGAAGGTAATGGAAATCATACTGTACCTGTCATTGCAGGATCCCCAAGCTCTGTCATAATCTACTGTGGGTATCAGGCATCTTGTAGAAGTCACTTGAGACAGAAGGTGTGTGGGAGGGGCTTGAGGGCTTGCTGAGAGTCAGAAGTCCAGAGCCCACTGTAGCAACGACCATAGGGCTCCCTCCAAATTACCAACGTTTTGTTTTGTTTCAGAGTTGTGGGTCTCCATCATGTATACAACCTGGCCTCCGATGACCACAATTTCCTTCCTTTAGTGCACACATCACATGAGGCAGGGGGAAAGGAGGTGAGGGAACTACCAATTTGGTTGTCTTTTCTATTTTCTGATGTGGGTGTGTTACAACTCGTTTGGCAGCCTGTTTCATGGTGACTGTCAGAGGTGTGTGTTGTTAAAAAAAAAAAAAAGTGGCCTCTAAATGCTACAGTCAGCAGGAAGGAACATGGGCCCTAGAGAGAACTCACAGTCTATTTCAACTCCAGGGAAACCCTAAGGCAAACATCATCTTGGTTTGCTTTTTTTAGGGTGTCTGTATAAATCTGGAAACCTTTGACCCAAGTTGGGGTAACTAGGTCATTGTTGTCTGGGAAGGACAAATAACTTCAAATATTTTGGCCTGAACTCCACTCGCTCCCGTTCTCTGCCTCTTAAATTCCTACCACTAAGTGATCATATTTTATGGCTGCTGTTCAGCAGTGAATTACTGCCTGACATTAGTGCGAGAGATGAATGTTCATTGTGAACCAAAACATCATAAACTTCCACTCGAGGTGTGATTGCTCCTTTCATTTTGTGATTGCATCTTTTCTGGGTGTTTTGCTTGGTTAACTGTTCAACCTAAGGGGCCAGCACTTGGTGGGTGTTGGTTCAGCAGGCTTCTGGCTGGCCCTGCTATGCCTTGGGTCAGAGCCACACCGTAGTTGTGCACATTGCACTCCATGCCAGTCTGCACTGGCGTGGCCTGGGCTCTGTCCGTGTGGTACACCAAGACAACTCACCCGTTGGGGGCATTGTCATGTCTGTCAATTTAATTTTCCTAATTTTTTTTTTCATAAGCCTGTTTTGAAATCGATGTACTTGTAGAGCCTCGTTAAGGGCAACCAGTCAGAATGGAAGTGGGGTAGAGGAAGGCCCATGGTTGTATGTGTGTGGGGTGTATATGTGTGTGCGCACGTGTATAATGCTTGAGTCACAGACAACAATATGAGTCATACTCTGTATCAAGGAAGACTTTTTAAGGGACATTATCCAAACTTGGTGGACCAAAAAAAAAAAAAAAAAAAGAGCTATGAACTATAAATAGATAAAAACAATAAAATAAGAAGAAGAAGAGATGTTCATAAGATCCCAGTAGGGGTGGCTTTGTGTTTCAGAGCCAATGGCTGGACAGGTTTGGGGTGCTTGGAGTGGTGACTCATTGTTACAGAAAGGAAAGCACAGAGCTGCAATCATGGAATGGATTGGTTTAGGAAGAGAGGAGTTTTAAGAGGACTGAGCATTATCCATCTTCATGCTCCCAGTATTATAAGAATGACCCTTATGCTGGGTCTCTTCTGTGCAGCTTCCTCCATGTACCTGAGAATTCCTTATAAAAATTCACCTGGACATTTGAACTGACTTTAACAAAAAAGAAACTCACACCATGGACTGCTGTGCAGGGGGCGTGAGGAATCAGGAAATCCAATGGAGACACAGTGTTGAACTCCAGCTGGCCGGGACCCCGGACAAGAAGGGACCATCGAGTCTTTGGTTCTTTAGTCAGTTCTTTATTATGTTAGGAGTTTTCTTTTCTTTTTTTACAACCAGAGCCGCTGCCTGTTCTGCCTGTGGCGAGACACACCAGCAGAAAGGAAAAGAAATATTGAAGAATCAATGCTTTAACAATTTCCTTTTGGAAAAAGACCATCAGGGCATTTTCTTTTCAGAGTTTTTGTCGTGATGGTTTTGCCTTTCCCACCCTTGGTTCTTGCAGGCATAGAACTGTCCAGCCCTCACCTCGTGAGCTCATGTGGGGTGCTGACGTTGGAGTTGCTGGGCACAGGAGACCCTGTGTGGTAGCAGGGGGCTTCCTCCTTCCTCTGCCTTCATGTCTGCACACACTGACATTAAGAGGATGGTTGAGTGAGGGTTTAATATTCT